GGCAGCCCATGCGCCGCACGCGCCGCCCTGCCCTGGGCCGGCGCAGCGTCGCGGGCTGCCATCGGGAGCCCCGCTGATGTTGGCGACCGAGCTATTGAGCCCTGTGCCGCCGTCCGTGCTGTTGTCGTCGTCCGAGCGGTTCGCGCCCATGTAGTTGCGCAGCCGCCCCCAGTCAAAGCCCGCGGCCGAGCCCGGAAGCAGCGGCGCCCAGGTCGCGCGCGGGGCCAGGCCCCTGACGAGCTGCGCCAGAGCCGGCGCCAGGGCCGCGGCAGCCCAGACCGGCACCATCGCGCAGCCGAGCGCCTCCCACCCCAGCGCCGGTCGGGGCGCCAGGGCGGATGAGGCCCTCAGAGAGGCCCGGCGGGCACGTCGGGCACCCGCTGTGGCCCCCCGTCAGGGGCCCCCCTCATAAAAGAGAAGGGCCAAAAATTGGCTGCAGCCGATGGAGATGGCCCAAGGCAGCAGCACCCCCTTTCGTTTCTCCCAGCCACTCAAACACCCACGGTTTAGCAAACAAGTTCACAAACCTACGCATCTCCATCCTGTGCCCCATCAACCCCTACATGAGACGCCTCCGCGGCGCCAGCGACACGAGGCCGCGCTTAGGCCAGATGGCCACCCTGGACCTCGAGGCGGGGGGTGTCCTCGTGAATGACGGGCAGGACCAAGAGGGAAATTTTAACATCTTCCGGATGCCCTTGGCGCGGCGTGGATATGCGCCCCTCGAAGCCTGTCCCCGCCTCCGTCGCGGGCGGGGATCCGAATAATATGATTTACGTCAGCATGATTACGGTTCCGATGGGTTGGGTCGGCGCCGTCGACTTCATGCAGGCTGTCATCAGGGGGATCTCGTCTTCGTCCAGACAGGCGCGAACCCGGGCGCCGAGGTCAGAAAGCACGAGTTCTTCTCAGAGGGCCCAATTTGCTCTCCTGTGCCTGGACGCCTTCGACTACCTCCAGAAGGTTCAGAAGACCGCCAAGGACGTGCAGGAGAGACCGGAGAGTCGCGAAGCCGTGCGTCTCGCGGAGGTCTGTTCACGATTCGGCATCCCCGTCAACGAGGGGACGGGGGCGCGCCTCGCCTCCATGCCTGCTGGGTCCCAGGCGGCGCTCTCGGATTTCATCGGGCTCGCCAGATTCGTTGCTCAGTCCAGGCGGGTGTTGGTCGCAGTCTTCCAGGAGCACTACTGGGAAACTCTTCGTTTGGAACAGGGGCCGGCGCCGCCCTCGGAGGCGATCTTGGACGAGGCCCCCCTCATGGTGATGCCCCTCCCCCTCGCCTGTTCGAACTTGCGGGCCCCCGTCCGACGGGGGCCGAGCTGCGCGGGCGCGTCGTAGGAAGGCGGCGCCGCGTGCGAGGCCGCCTCCTTCGCGCAGACCGTGGACCAGGAGAGCTCCGACACCATTTGCAGCCACTTCGCCAATCTCGTCGAGGAGTCCGGCTGGCCTGCAGGGTCGCCCACCTGCCGCTGCATCTGCGGCGCTGGTTTCATGCCTGTCAGCCTGGACAGGGCCCCCCGCCCCGCGGGCTGCGGCGCGCTGGGCCGCGGGATCGATTGCGTGGTTACGCGCAGGCGTGAGCGACGCTGCACGTTCGGGAATCGGCGCCTCCCAGCTTTTGCCGAAGGGTTCGCGGGTCCCCAGGCCTCCCTCTCCTGGGCAGTGGCCCGCGCTGGGGTCGAGATTTCGCGCCCTTTTGACAAGGCGCTGCCGCCGTGCCCAGGCGCCCCACTGCCGCGCGGGAAAGCGTTCATCGCCGAGGAGTTCGACCACGAGGCCGCGTTCTGGGAGCAGTGGTGGCCGGGCAGGTCCAATAAGATGGCCCACATCGCCTTCGGACGGCTGCGCTGGCGAGCGCGGAATGGCGGCGCCAACGTCGTCGCGCGCCCGCGCCGGAGCTGGATTTGGAAGCTCCCCGCGATCATTCGTCTTCTGGACCTCTAGGGGATATACTTTACAATTGTGTGGGCTCAACACCATGGCGCCGCCATGGCGACAAAAGTCGGCCTCCTTCGCGACTCCGGGGAACTCCGCGCGAAGTTCCACGCACTGGGCAAGCAGTGGGAGGTGGCACGGCTGATCACATCCACCATCGGCAACGCGGCTGCCAGAGATTGTTTGAGCGCCATGTTCCGCACCTTCGCCGAGGTAGTCGCCGAGGAGCTCCTGGTGGTCCAGGCCAGGTCGTTGCACCTAGATCCGAGCGCGCGGCCCGAGTGGCTTGCGCAGGAGCTGCTTTTGTCAACGAGGCGTTTGTCCACCGCCAACATCTCCCTCCTCGCTGCCAAGCGCATTTGGAATTTCGTAGGGACTATGAGGCCTTGTGGGGAGGAGCTCCATTTGCGAGGGCTCCTGCGGCTCGTGGACTACCGGGGTTCGATCGTGCGCTTGGACGCAGGGGCATGTTCGGAATCCAGGCAAGACATCCCTGACCCAGCTTTCTGCAGGCGGTGGTCGTGCACAATGGCTTAATTACACGTGGCGCACTACGCACCACATTGACAGTCTCGAATTCACTAGCGTCTTCAATTACTTCCGCAAGAAGTTTCGGTTTGCATTGTCTCATGGGCAACGGTATTTTCACATCGTGGACAGCCGCGTGACGGCTGGAATGCAATCGAGAAGGCGTTCATCCAGCAAAAGTTTGAACCGGCCCGAAGGCTGGCTGCCTACCTGCTTGCTGCGGATGGTTACGTGCTCCCCTTGTGGACTGTCTCTCGCTGGACAGCTGTGGACCTTGGCAGCCGCGTGTACGCCAGAGACGAGGGGGAAGAGTAGCAAGAACAAGCGGCGGAGACCGCCGCATGGGAGTCACCCGAAGTACGTTGGCATAGGCAGCAAGACGTTAGTAAGATATTGGACCCGAGTTGCACGATTTTCCATTGTCTGGAAGTCCTCCAGAAGCCGCTCCCGAATACCGCCGAGCAGCTGGGTTTGGAGCTCAGCGAGTACATCAATCACTTATGGCTGCGATAGTCGTGGTTATGTAGGTGCGATTGTCTCTGGCCTGCGCCGTTTTGTACCTCGGCTCTGGGGCAGGCTCGCTACTTCGAGGCAGTTCTTGCGCAACAGGGACCGTACGTTGCTGCGGAAACGTGCGTGCCCTATTCCTCGAAATGTGGCGATTGCCTTCGCAGGGGTACCATGCGCCTACAAACGCCCTGACTCGAGTGCAATTTTGCTGATTGTTTTTTGTGTGAATGATTCTGACAATGATCAATGGAGGCTGTCGTCTTGCAGATGCACCAGATCATTTTCTTCCGAGGTGTGGAACCAACTATCATTTCTCTACTTGATTCTAAGGGCAGCCACAGGAAAAATGTAACAGAGCAGGTCGTCGTCGAGGACCCGCTCGTGCTTGCAAGCTTGGCATTGGCGTGCCGAGGTAAGGAGCCATCAGACAGTGTATACGAGGAGGCGCCTCGCATTTTTTCCTTCGAGCTGCAATGGTTAGCACGAGCTTTTGGTATTTATCGCATGGACCTCACGCCCTATACACCCAGGCGTGGGGAGCCAACGTTCCATCACCTTCGGTACGGCAACATCTCGTTGAAAACATTCCTTGGGCGCTGGGAAAACAAGAAAACATGCAAGATTTACGTCCACCAGGGGACAGTACACTTAGCAGAATGGAGTACCAACGATGCGCAACAAGCGCTCACCGACAGGGCGACGTCCGTACGCGTCATGGCCCTGCAAGAGGAGAGGCTGGCAACCAACAAAAATGACCCCAAGACGTAAACATGCAGCCTCACAAGGCTGGAGTCTTTTTGTCCCTGCGTTGGGCAGTCTCGTGAGGCTGGAGGGCGAGGGGGTGGGGCCTTTGCCCATTTCCGTTCCTCCCATGTGGCGCACCCCCGGGCTTTTGCCTGGGCTGGGGAGGGGCGCTCCCTGCCCAGGGCAGGGGGCAGGAAGGTGTTATTGGGCGGTGCGCGGGACTTGCGGCTGCCGTAGGGCGGGGGCCTCGTGTCGCCGAGGCGGTGGCTTTAGAAGCTACTCTGGGCCGGTTAGACCGGTCCCAGCCGTGGGATGGGGGTGCATGCGCCTCTCTCCCCCTGCCACTCTCTTCTTCTGACCGCGCGGACGCTCGGACAGGGAACGCACCCGCAAGCGCGTGCCAGCTCGGCGCAGAAAGGTAAGGAAGGGCATGAGGGGAGGGAGGTATTTGTGAATTGTATGCGTGTAGGTATGTGTGTATGAACGTGTGTACACATGTGAGCGCCAGCCAGCTAAGAAACTGCGTCGAGATTTAGCCCCTACTTCCTTATTTCTTCCGCTGCCCAGGTCAGCCCCAGAATTTCTTATCTCATGGTGTTCTTAATATTGACCGGGGGTGTATGTAGGTATGTCGGTATACATGTATGTTTGTAGTTACGTGTGCTTGTGCGTACGTGTGTGTATGCATGTATGCATGAATGTATGCATGCATACATGCATGTATGTTTGTATGCATGCATGCATGTATGCCTGTCTGTATGTGTATGTATGTGTGAAGTCATAACTGCGTGTGTACGCATGTATGTTTATATGAGTGTAAATGTGTATGTATAGATGTTTGTATGCATATGTACATGGATGTACGTATGCATGTATGTATGTATGTATGTATAGATGCATATGCCTGTCTGTCCGTCCGCCCATCCGTCTGTCTGACTGTCTGTCCGTCTGTCGGTCTGTCTGTCCATATGTATGTATTGATGTATAGATAGTATATGGTACAGGTGCCCCTGCATATTTCGACATAGCCCTCGAATTGTATGATAGTGGTTGGGGTGTTCTCATGAAGAGCACAGCTCACCACGCCTGTAGAGATAACAGGGAAGTCAAGTTTTGGAGTGTCCTATATGTGGTAGCTGTTTTGGCTAAGAACCAGCCGGACTCCCACCTCCCACCGCTGAGCTCGACGGCCTTGCCTGGGGCAAGGGAAGAGGCCGCTCACTGGACGCAGAAAGGCCGTCTCCCGTTGGAGTGCTGGCCGAGGTTGGCTTTTCCGCCAGGGA